AATACAATCAGACATCGCTATAGCGAAACCGGCGTATAACGAAAGAGATATAAAAATTACAAGTAGATTGTTTCAAAAGAATAAATTGAGTTTAATTAAAAAAATTAAATTTAAATACATATTTAATTAAATATTCTTTGCGCCATTGCTGCAAGGAAGGAAATTTAAATTTAAACAAATTTAAATTCTAAACAAATACGTATAAAAGTAAAAAAGTAGAAAGCAAATTTAAATTCTAAAAAAAGGAAAAAAGCCAAAATAATTTAAAATAATTTAAAAATATGCAAACATGTAAAAGATTTAATTCTCGAACTAATCTACAATATCATTTAAATACAGAAGCATAAGCAAATCAAGTGTAAAATCTGTCCATGAAAATAAATCTACTAATTTAATAAATTAAAATTAAATTAAACAATTTTTTAAAAAAATGCATATGTGAATGAAAAAATGTATAGTTCTTTTATAGTTCCTTAATTTTTCCTTAATTTCCTTAATTTTCCGAGATATCATAATCTTTCTTTTTCGGGTTGGCACTACCTGTAACATATTTATCACAGTAAAATTTAGAAATTCCAGCACAGTCATCTAAAACTAATTATTGATAAAGGTTCAATTTTAAAAACTTTCTGTTCATAGCAAATTATTCAAAAAAAAAAAAAAAAAAAAAAAAAAAAAGAGGAGTCATTTCTTTCCTTTAAAAAAAGCTGTAAAAAGGATCTTCCATTTTTATAACAATAGATCAAATTACTTCTTCAAAGAAACATAACCAATAAAACTTCACTTTGAGCAACTTATTTCTATTTGTAGCAAATTGGTTAGAATATAATTAGCATAAAAAGCCTTTATTTCTGGCCTGAAAACATCATTTTATTTGCATGTCAATTACTGAATTATTTATTTAGGAAAATATTACTGTTCAAAACCCTCTTTTGGCCAAAAAAAAAAAAAAAACTATTTAGAAAAATATGTTGAATAAAGAGACACAAAAAATCATTTCTCTTTTTTACATTGTGACTCTAAAAATACCTTTTGTTTTTATGTCAAAAAGTATGTATACTTTATCATAGAATACCTTCAATACATCTTGCTCATACGTGACAGAATTATATTTTTTCCTTAAAAAAAAATTCTCTAAAATTACTAAGACCATCTTAGAACAAAAAGTTAAATAAACTTCTACCTTGAACTGAGGCATCCTGTACATTCGGGTAACATTAATTACAGCTGGACAATTAACTTTTTTAGTTGTCTGGTTCTTGGAATATGCTTTACCAAAAGCATGATCAGTTTGACACTAAAAAAAAAAAAAAAAAAAAAAAAAAAAAACATACATATATATATATAATCCAAGAGGTGATATTTTTGTATAAATTTTTAAATATAACAATGTTATTTTACCTTTTCATTTTTTTCTTTAGCATAATTTTCCTTTTGACGTTTATTCAGATCTTTTCCTTGATGGCAAACATAGGTTTTTCGCCCAAAGTGGAAATAGGGAATATCATCTAACCAGTTTAATCGTAAATCTGGAGTTAGTTCAACTGGAAAGAAAATTTTGATTTAGATCACAATCTGATAAGCTTTGATTTTTAAAAGAAAAGAAATTACAGATCTCTATAAACATATTATACACATTTAACTGTCTCTATATATACTACATACTGTAGACACTGCTTAATGTATTGCAGCAGCTGATGTCGTGTATATTGCTATTGAATTTCTAAGTTCTGCTCTTTCATATATGGAAAACATAAAAAATGCATCATTTGCTGTAATTTTATTTGCTCAATTTGGTTAATATAATCAAAATATTATACAATAAATTTCTTAAACTGAAGAACGAAATAATTTAAAATTGTGTTACAATAATTGTCAAGTTACATGGAAATTTTGCTAAATCGAAAATTAAATTGATGAACAGCAGCTTATTTTTGATGTTAATCAAGCATTTAGAAAAAAGCTCAAAACAATAAAAAAAAAAAAAAAACTTAATTTCATACGAATTTTCAATAGCTATTGATTTGGAAGGGTTACAGCACAGTTTCCCTCTTCTTCAAAAGGGAGGTAAAAATTCCTGAAAACATCTTTGCCAAAAAAAACTTGTGTTTTTGCCCAATTTCAGATTTTACATTGGCAAAATCTCTTTAAACCAGGATGCCTTCCAAGTATTATGATTATAGGTATAGAATTGGTCCAATAAATTTCAGAAACATTATGGACTATTCATAAATGAACTTTTGCACCGAAGACTATAAACCATTGATAAACAGACTTTTCCATTTTCCTAATTAAAATGCTAAGAAAGCGGCTAGTTATATTTATAGTTAATTCAATTCCTATTTTAAAAGATACTTTTCTCATCATCTTATATTATCAAAATGGGCAAATGTAATCACATTAAGCAGCACCTACTGCAAACATAGAGAGATATTAAAAGCATTAAACTATTATGTAAAAAATTATGTCATTTTGTCTCGTATTAAAATTATATATGCTAGGTAAAGTAAAGAATGAGCTATCTGCCTTAGGCAAAAGGGATGCCTTTGAGAAGGTCTTCTTATAGGAAACTGGCTTGTATTCACTTATATATAAGGAGAACAGGAAAATTTCCATGCAGCTAGTCCATTCATCAGTATTTGTACCTTGATCAAACATCCAGTGTTCAGCTATCTTACCTGCTAGTCCATTGGTGCTAAGAGTCAAAATAGACAGTAATATGATTTTACACACAAGATAAGTAGCATTCATTGACTAAAGAAATATATATATCACATCACTAAAGAAATATATATACATTTCAGAAAACTTTCCTGTTTTCTAAAATTCAATATCTTTATTATTATAACTTCCTGATATTTCAATGCATTATAATTTTATGGTGAACTATTACCTGAAAATAAAACAGAATATTTTTTGAATTGGTAGTGTTTATTATAAGGTTATTTTGAAACATGTTGTTAATGATAAAACTAAAGAATGGATTTTCTTTATAGACTATTAAATGATTATATTTCAAATCAACAGACTGCATTCATACACTAAAATAGGATGAAAAATATAGTAGTCATCGAGACAATTGTCGAGTTTCTCAAGAAACAACAATAAAAATTTTCAAATCTAACACGGTATATCTTGTTTAATGTTTAATATAGTACGGAAATCAGCTATTTGAAAAAAAAAAAAAAAAAAAAAAAAAATGCAATACCTGACAATGAAACCAAATAAAAATCAAACATAACGCTATTACACGTTATGCAACAAAATTAATGAATATGAACGTCTATAAACCCTTTTTTTTTCAACTTGGACCGAATCTCGCAACATCAACTAGATCTTACGCAATAAAATTAATACAAATTAGTGCTGATAAGTTCTTTGGAACAAAATGGCCAAATATCAACTAAACAATCAAAGAAAGCATTTACATTCTAGAGGATTTTTTATTTACTCATTACATCTTCAAAAATTACTTACTCTCTTTATCGAATGACTTTCCATAGTAATAAACATATTTTGTTACAGTTTCTACTTCGTGTCTGCGAAGTATTTCTTTAAATTCGCTCCAAGATTTCGCAAAATTCATTTTGCCTCTAAACACAAAGTTCATACACGAGACGGACTTTGAAACTCGTAATCGATAAACCGCCATTCCCCATCGTTGACACATCTTCTATCGATGGGAAAAGGACCTGCCACCGAAAAAGGGCGACCTCGGTAATGCGGTTTTGATTTTGGGCACACAAGTTTCGGATCAAAGTAATTATTGAATAGAGATTTGGGTAACTTAGATCTTTTCTAGACTTAAAATGCCGAAGTTGACATTTTTTGGTAGTTGGTTGCGGAGAAATGTACATTTTATGAAAGCTCTGTCAGAAAGTCATGAACAGAATTTTTGAATGCATTGCAACTTCGCTTATAATATCATCCGATTAGAGCGAATTCTTCGGTCCTGTCCAATTTCACAGACTTAATGTTATTTTCAACAACTACAGGAACACCCAAATGAATAAAAACGGATATAACGAACTATGTAATCAATCAGACATCGCTTAGCGAACCGCGTATAACGAAAGAGATATAAAATTACAGTAGATTGTTTCAAAGAATAAATTGAGTTTAATTAAAAAAATTAATTTAAGCATATTAATTAAATATTCTTTGCGCCATTGCTGCAAGGAAGGAAATTTAATTTAAACAAATTTAAATTCTAAACAAATACGTATAAAAGTAAAAAATAAAAGCAAATTTAAATTCTAAAAACGGAAAAAAGCCAAAAATTTAAAATAATTTAAAAATATGCAACATGTAAAAGATTTAATTCTCGAACTAATCTACAATATCATTAAATTCAGAATAACAAATCAAGTGTAAAATCTGTCCATGAAATAAATCTACTAATTAATAATTAAATTAAAATAAACATTTTTTAAAAAAATGCATATGTGAAGAAAAATGTATAGTTCTTTTATAGTTCCTATTTTTCCTTAATTTCCTTAATTTCCGAGTATCAAATCTTTCTTTTTCGGGTTGCACTACCTGTAACATATTTATCACAGTAAAATTAGAAATTCCACAGGTCATCTAAAACTAATTAATAAGGTCAATTTTAAAACTTTCCTGTTCAGCAATTATTCAAAAAAAAAAAAAAAAAAAAGAGGAGTCATTTCTTTCCTTTAAAAAAAGCTGAAAAAGGATCTTCCATTTTATAACAAGATCACAATTACTTCTTCAAAGAAACATAACCAATAAAACTTCACTTGGCAATTATTTCTATTGTAGCAAATTGGTTAGAATATAATTAGCATAAAAAGCCTTTATTTCTGGCCTGAAAACATCATTTTATTTGCATGTCAATTACGAATTATTTATTTAGGAAATATTACTGTTCAAAAACCTCTTTTGGCCAAAAAAAAAAAAACTATTTAGAAAAATATTGAATAAAGAGACACAAAAAATCATTCTCTTTTTACATTGTGACTCTAAAAATACCTTTTGTTTTATGTCAAAAGTATGTATACTTTATCATAGAATACCTTCAATACATCTTGCTCATACGTGACAGAATTATATTTTTTCCTTAAAAAAAAATTCTCTAAAATTACTAAGACCATCTTAGAACAAAAAGTTAAATAAACTTCTACCTTGAACTGAGGCATCCTGTACATTCGGGTAACATTAATTACAGCTGGACAATTAACTTTTTTAGTTGTCTGGTTCTTGGAATATGCTTTACCAAAAGCATGATCAGTTTGACACTAAAAAAAAAAAAAAAAAAAAAAAAACACAACATATATATATAATCCAAGAGGTGATATTTTTGTATAAATTTTTAAATATAACAATGTTATCCTTTTCATTTTTTTCTTTAGCATAATTTTCCTTTTGACGTTTATTCAGATCTTTTCCTTGATGGCAAACATAGGTTTTTCGCCCAAAGTGGAAATAGGGAATATCATCTAACCAGTTTAATCGTAAATCTGGAGTTAGTTCAACTGGAAAGAAAATTTTGATTTAGATCACAATCTGATAAGCTTTGATTTTTAAAAGAAAGAAATTACAGATCTCTATAAACATATTATACATTTAACTGTCTCTATATATACTACATACTGTAGACACTGCTTAATGTATTGCAGCTGATGTCGTGTATATTGCTATTGAATTTCTAAGTTCTGCTCTTTCATATATGGAAACATAAAAAATGCATCATTTGCTGTAATTTTATTTGCTCAATTTGGTTAATATAATCAAAATATTATACAATAAATTTCTTAAACTGAAGAACGAAAATGATTTTAATCAAGCATTTAGAAAAAAGCGCAAAACAATAAAATTAAAAAAAAACTTAATTTCATACGAATTTTCAATAGCTATTGATTTGGAAGGGCTTCAGCACAGTTCCCTCTTCTTCAAAAGGGAGGTAAAAATTCCTGAAAACATCTTTGCCAAAACACACCTTTGTTTTTGCCAAATTTCAGATTTTACATTGGCAAAATCTCTTTAAACAAGGATGCCCTCCAAGTATTAAGATTATAGGTATAGAATTGGTCCAATAAATTTCAGAAACATTATGGACTACTCAAATGAACTTTTGCAATGAAGACTGTAAACAATTGATAAACAAACTTTTATTTTTCCTAATTAAAATGTTAAGAAAGTGGCTAGTTATATTTATAGTTAATTCAATTCCTATTTTAAAAGATACTTTTCTCATCATCTTATATTATCAAAAATGGGCAAATGTAATCACATTAAGCAGCACCTACTGCAAACATAGAGAGATATTAAAAGCATTAAACTATTATGTAAAAATATTATGTCATTTTGTCTCATATTAAAATTATATATGCTAGGTAAAGTATAGAATGAGCTAGCTGCCTTACGCAAAAAGGATGCCTTTGAGAAGGTCTAATGGGAAACTGTCTTGTATTCACTTATATATAAGGAGAACAGGAAAATTCCCATGCAGCTAATCCATTCAACAGTATTTGTACCTTGATCAAACATCCAGTATTCAGCTATCTTATCTGCTAGTCCATTGGTGCTAAGAGTCAAAATAGACAGTAATGTGATTTTACACACAAGATAAGTAGCATTCATTGACTAAAGAAATATATATATCACATCACTAAAGAAATATATATACATTTCAGAAAACTTTCCTGTTTTCTAAAATTCAATATCTTTATTATTATAACTTCCTGATATTTCAATGCATTATAATTTTATGGTGAACTATTACCTGAAAATAAAACAGAATATTTTTTTTTGAATTGGTAGTGTTTATTATAAGGTTATTTTGAAACATGTTGTTAATGATAAAACTAAAGAATGGATTTTCTTTATAGACTATTAAATGATTATATTTCAAATCAACAGACTGCATTCATACACTAAAATAGGATGAAAAATATAGTAGTCATCGAGACAATTGTCGAGTTTCTCAAGAAACAACAATAAAAATTTTCAAATCTAACACGGTATATCTTGTTTAATGTTTAATATAGTACGGAATGTTTCGTGAAGCATCAGCTATTTAAAAAAAAAAAAAAAAAAAAAAAAAAAAAACATGCAATACCTGACAATGAAACCAAATAAAAATCAAACATAACGCTATTACACGTTATGCAACAAAATTAATGAATATGAACGTCTATAAACCCTTTTTTCAACTTGGACCAAATCTCGCAACATCAACTAGATCTTACGCAATAAAATTAATACAAATTAGTGCTGATAAGTTCTTTGGAACAAAATGGCCAAATATCAACTAAACAACCAAAGAAAGCATTTACATTCTAGAGGATTTTTATTTACTCATTACATCTTCAAAAATTACTTACTCTCTTTATCGAATGACTTTCCATAGTAGTAAACATATTTTGTTACAGTTTCTACTTCGTGTCTGCGAAGTATTTCTTTAAATTCGCTCCAAGATTTCGCAAAATTCATTTTGCCTCTAAACACAAAGGTTCATACACGAGACGGACTTTGAAACTCGTAATCGATAAACCGGCCATTCCCCTATCGTTGACACAAGTCTTTCTATCGATGGGAAAAGGAGACTCTAGGCCATCCGAAAAAGCGGCGACCTTCGGGTAATGCGGTTTTGATTTTTGGACAGCAGACAAGTTTCGGATCAAAGTAAAGTTATTGAATAGATTTGGGTACTTTAGACTTTTCTAGACTTAAATGCCGAAGTTGACTTTTCGAGTGTTTACGGAGAAATTACATTTTATGAAGCTCTGTCAAATATTTCATGAACAGAGAATTTTTGAATGCATTGCAACTTCGCTATTGAATCCATCCGATATAACAGCGAATTCTTCGGTCCTGTCCAATTCCTACAGACTTAATGTTATTTTCTACAACTACAGGAACACCCAAATGAATAAAAATCGGATATAACGACTATGTAAATACAATCAGACATCGCTATAGCGAAACCGTCGTATAACGAAAGAGATATAAATTACAATAGATTGTTTCAAAGAATAAAATTGAGTTTAATACAAAATTAAATTTAAATACATATTTAATTAAATATTCTTTGCGCATTGCTGCAAGGAAGGAAATTTAAATTTAAACAAATTTAAATTCTAAACAAATACGTTAAAAGTAAAAAAGTAGAAAAGCAAATTTAAATTCTAAAAAAGGGAAAAAGCCAAAATAATTTAAAATAATTTAAAAATATGCAAACATGTAAAAGATTTAATTCTCGAACTAATCTACAATATCATTTAAATTCAGAAGCATAAGCAAATCTGTAAAATCTGTCCATGAAAATAAATCTACTAATTTAATAAATTAAAATTAAATTAAACAATTTTTTAAAAAAATGCATATGTGAATGAAAAAAGTATAGTTCTTTTTTTTTTATAGTTTTCTTTTTATTGATATGCATATTCGTGTAGGGGAAGTTTTCTGTAGACAAGGATTTCTAAAATACATTGGTTTCTAATTTTTTTTTTTTTTATTATTTTATAAAAAATTTAATTTTGTAAGAAAAAGTTTTAATTCTTTGCTTTACTTACTTGCTGTGTTTTCTCAAAAGACTTAATTAGTATTTTTTTCCTTTTTGAACTTTAATTCTTAAATGTTAATACTTAAATGTTAATTTTAAGAGTACCACTTTATTGAATTACTTTTGGTTTTGACCTTTACCCTTGCCTGCATGAATGACGAAACACGAATTGAATGATTGGAGAGTTAGGTTTGGAGGTAAATTCCCCTTGATAAGTCTGTCTCCTGCCTACTCTACGATCATTCACATATGCGTTTTTTTTTTAAATAATTTTTAAATTTTAATTTATTAAATTAGTAGATTTATTTTCATGGATAGATTTTACACTTGATTTGCTTATGCTTCTGAATTTAAATGATATTGTAGATTAGTTCGAGAATTAAATCTTTTACATGTTTGCATATTTTTAAATTATTTTAAATTATTTTGGCTTTTTTCCTTTTTTTAGAATTTAAATTTGCTTTTCTACTTTTTTACTTTTATACGTATTTGTTTAGAATTTAAATTTGTTTAAAATTATAAATAGAGATATAAATATAATATTTTATCCGGATACAAGGAAATTTCAAATGTATAAAAATCGGGTATAACGAACTGTGTAAATACAATCAGACATCGCTATAGCGTAACCGGCGCATAACGAAAGAGATACAAAAAGAGAACTGTTTGAGGTCTTATAGTTTCCTGTAGGTATAATGTTATTTTATCCCGATAAAGGAAATTCCAAATGAATAAAAATCGTATTTAACGATCTTTGTAGACACAAGGAAATCCCACTGTAACGAATGCTCCGAATATAACGAGTGAATTTTCTGGACTTTAGAGAGAAATAATGAGCCACCTGTCCAGTTTCGTTGTAGACTCAAGGTTATTTTATACAGGAACTCCCAAATATATTAAATTCAGGTATAACGAAGTTTTAAAATACAGCTAAACTCGGCTATAGCGAATCCGGCGTATAGCAAGCGAACTTCCAATTTCCTATAGACGTAATGTTCTTTTATAAGGCTGTAAGAAGCTCCCAGATGTATAGAAGACGGATATAACGAACTTCGTAAATGTTGTAGGCATCCATCTCTAATTTGCTATGCCAATTAGATCAAGAAAAATGTTAAAAAGTCATGCAAGTGCACTTGAAAATAACTGTAATTTTACATTCATTTACATAGGATTTTTTTTTAAATTGGCGTAATAATTTTACTTACGAAATACGTAATAGTTTACACATGAATTATTACTTACATAATCATTTTATATATGAAAAATTCTTCGTAATTGCAACTCTGAATAACAGTCCAAATAAATAGAGTTCTACTGTAAAATTAAAATGAACTCGACTGCGATAGGTTCATTTATCTTTACATATAGATATAATAAAAAGAAAGAGTCTGCGTGTGTGTGTAAATCTGTCTTTCGTTCCTGCTCCGCATAAGCTTAATAGACCCATGACTACAAAATTTAGTACATAGATGCATCTAGACAACAGCCAGTGAACCTCGAAACGATTTTTTTAAATTCAAATCAGATTTTTATTTATTTTGCCTTTTTTGATGAAATCGCATCTTTTTGAATAGTTGCATTCTTTTAGAAATGCGGCTTTGGCAGCAGTTTTTCATTCAATGCTTTGTTTAATGGACTGCTGACTGTTGAAAATAAGAGATAAAATGCTGCTTATTTTCTATTGATTTTTGGACACGCAACACACACATCGCAATCTTCTTATTCTGACGCGCGTGTGGGCCCACCAGCGGCCTAGCGGTTAAGTCGCTGAACACTGGTAGTTCGGTCCGAAGTTCGAATCCCGTGAACGGGCTGGCTGCATGGGTGTTTTCGTGGTTTTCCCCATGTGTAACGTGTATACAAGCCAGTTTCCCTTAGAAAGTCCTCCACGAAGGCATCCCTCCTCTTAGGCAGATAGCCCTAGTGTGCTTTGCCATAATTAAATACACACACTGACGCGCGTGTGTCTCTCGAGGCATAACAGAAAGAATTTCCTTTCTTCTCTCTCTCTTTATTAGCCAATTGCAAAGAGGTTTGTATATTTTGAATTATGTCATCCACAAAGCCCAATTTTGATTGGTTATTGCTTTCTGGTGATAGTTTCATTCTCTTAGAAGTCATGTTTAGGCAACAGTTTTTCATTCATTGCTTTGGATACTAGACTGCTGATTGTTTTCTCTTGAAAATATGAGTTTTATTGCTTATTTTATTGTAATTATTTTATATTATGTTTTAATTATATATAATTTTAATTATATAAAAGTTTTGTATGATTGTTTTAGGAAACAAAGCTTTTAACTTCCTTTATATCATTTGAATTCTTAAGACTTTGAAGCGGGAAGTTGGTTAATTTATTTATTAGGATAATTAATATCTGTATTAAGGGATATTGCTTATTTCATTGCAATGTTTTTAATATGTGATACGTTTTATACATATATATATAAAGTTGTTCTGCAGAATAAAATTTTGTTCAGATTTTAAATTTAATGTTTGGTGCTCCGTTTAGGCAATTTTACGTTACATTTAAAAGCCAGACGAAGGCTGACCGCGTGGTGGCTAATCTATCATATAATATATATATATATATATATATATACTTTTTTTTTTTGAAAGTCAAAAGCGATAACGCGTCACAAGTGTTTTAAATAAAATTAACGGTTGTAATTTACATAAGTTTTATGTAATATTTCTGGATTTATTGTCACTTAACAAGGGAAGTATAACTTAGCGAACGCCTTCGATGCAGATTTCCGAAGTTAAGATTTATACTGTAAAATCATAAACGAAGTCGTATTCCTATAAAAGGGTTAAAATGGAACGGTGAAAGCATTAAACTAGCACTGATTACTGGTTAATTATGGCAAAAGCTAACTACTTGTAATCTCAGGAAATGTAATTATGATAAACACAGTAATTCAGCTGAACCAAATTTCCTACGTTAATATACTACCATAGAATATAGAATTATACAAAATTAATAAAATAGAGATAAAATATAGAACGTAAACGTCCACAAAAGACTTCAGCCAACCTTTATTTTTGCGACTTTGAATGGTAGACATACAAAAAAATGCTTTAAATGGCACAAAGAAGCATGCTTTGGAGTTTTTAAATTTAAAGAAATAGTTGTCTAAAAATGGGTGTACACTACTTTTTACTTCCTTGTACGAAGTAAAAAGGAAGTATTGTAATCGCGAAAAGTTTCAGGCAGCATATTTCAACCAAATATCCATTTTGACCGCTATCGAATGCAATTTAACGATGTTTTTGTGTGATATCTGTACGTAAGGACAGAATAAAAAGACTCGTTTCCTCCAAAAAATTATAAAACTGCTTTAAAATGAATTCTGAAGAGAATTTTTCATGGCGTCTGTACGAACGTATGTACATACGTATGTACGTGCGTACGTACGTATCTCTCATAACTCATAAAGGAGTAGCCTCAGAACGTTGAAATTTTCTATGTAGGACTGCTATAACATGTAGATGTGCACATCGTATTTTGGTTGCAATCGGCCGCACCAAACGTATAATAAATATATTTATATATATATCCACTCTGTTACCCGGCTCAGTGATCTCAGTTTCTTTACTCTTATGTGTTTGTAAATTGTACATTTTTTGCTCTAAAAATGATTGAATTATGTTGTTCTTATCTTCCGGTTAAGGTTTTTATGCCTTTAGTAAATCTGTATGCAATATTTTTAGAATTATCAACAATTTAAAAGTTATTTAAGTGCCGCTGAGCCTAATAATTGTTTTGATGGCGGCCATTGCTTGTTTACATTTGAAATAGCAGAGTAGTGGATTTGTAGCCAATCTAGAGAAACGTAGCTTCGCAACAACAAAGATAACGCCTTCATTTAGTATTGCGATTTAAATCATGCTTAATCCTTTCTGGAATTTTTTCGAGGAAATAAGCGTTTAAGATTTCCTTCGTAATTTTTAATATAGATATTTTGAGTTTTTATGTATCTTTGCTTCTCGCGAAGTGAGAACTGAATTCATTGAATGAGAAATACGCAATCGTCAGTGAAAAACTGTTTCTTTTTTGT